ATCCTTCCTCCTCAGCCTTCCGAGTAGCTAGAACTACAGGCGCGTGCTACCACGTCCGGCTAATTTTTTTTTTTTTTTTTTTTTTGAGTTGGAGTCTCACTCTGTTGCCCAGACTGGAGTGCAGTGGCTGCTCCCGGCCACCACAGCCTCGCCTGCTGGGCTCCGGCGATCCTTCCGCCTCAGCCTTCCGAGTAGCTGGAACTACAGGTGCGTGCTACCACGCCCGGCTAATTTTTTGATTTATTGTAGAGATGAGGTCTCGCCAAGTTGCCCAGGCGGGTCTCGAACCCGCGGGCTCAGGCAATCCTCTCACCTCAGCCTCCCAAAGTGCTGGGATTACAGGCTGAGCCACTGAGCCCGGCTAGGTTACATCTTCAAATAACATCCTCAACGTGTCTCCTCAACCTTCAGGTCAAACTACTGGAAAGTCAAGTCCCCTAAACTGATGCCAGGGGCCTTATCATAATCAGAAAAGAAAGTCCAGCAGATACGCTGCAGCATGTTCACAAAGTCGAAACACAGGCAGCAAAGCCGACCCGAGGGGCAACTGCAGGGCCTTTCAACAAGCAGTCAGCACCGACTGTATCCAGAGCTGGGCTTGACTCGGGACACAGGGCCTCAGAGACGTGGCCGAGTCCTTCGGACCAGCGCTCTGGTGGCAGGAAGCCTGACGTCACAGAGGCCACAGCAACACCACCTCCAGCTCGGGTGAGCGGGGAAGCGGCACTCTGGCCGGGGAAGGCCTCTGAGCCGCGTCCTGAAGGGCGAGCGGAAGCAACCATGCAGCGGTCGAGGGCAAAGCCGTGCAGGAAGACAGAGCAAGTGCCAATGCCCGGGGGCAGGACACAGCTTGCTCTGAGAAACAGACACCACCGGGGGAGCGAGCCTTCTGCCAGGGGACGACGCAGCAGGAACCGCCGGACCCGGGCCCTGACCTCGGACTTCCCGACCACCACACTGTGTGGAAGCCCTGGGGAGGTGTGTGCCGGATGTCAATGGCATCCACGGAGGTCACCGAAGATGACATCGGACACTCCAGGTGTTTCAGCGAACCTACAGTAATGCCTTTGTCAAGCAGGAGACTCAGGGCAGCAAGAGGGAGAGTCGCAAGATGAGACTGGAAGGGGGCTCGGCCTTGGAGAGTGAAGGGGTGTCTGGACGGGCGGACACAGGGAAATACGGCCTGGATTTCTTCGCTACCGACGGAGAACGGTCTTAGGAGGACTGAGGCCTTTGAGTAGGATTTTCTTTTCTTTTTTTTTTTGAGTTGGAATCACTCTGTCACCCAGGTTGGAGGGTAGTGGCGTGCTCCTGGCCATCACCACCTTGACCTGCTGAGCTCAGGCGATCCTTCCGCCTCAGCCTTCCAAGTAGCTGGAACTACAGGCACGCACCACCACGCTCGGCTAATTTTTTGATTTACTGTAGAGATGAGGTCTCGCCAAGTTGCCCGGGCTGGTCTCGAACCGTGGGCTCAAGCAATCCTCTCACCTCAGCCTCCCAAAGGGCTGGGATTATAGGCTTGAGCCACCACGCTCAGCCTGAATTTGATTTTCTTAAGCAAGTCATGTCGAAAATACAAAAATGATTCTGATAAATATGAAAAGAAAAGTAGACTGAATAGGGTGGAAGGAGGGAGGCGTCAGGGGTAAGCAAGAAGAGCTCGGAGTTTATCAAGTCATGAAGGAAAAAATGGTTTTGAGTCGGAGTCTCACTGTGTCATCCAGGTTGGAGTGCAAAGCCACACGCACAGCCACCGCAGCCTTGACCTGCCGGGCTCCGGCGATGCTTCCACCTCGGCCCTCCAAGAGCTGGAGCTGCAGATGCCACCTGCCCGGCTACGCGGCATTTGCCTTCATTGTCATTCTGTGTTACGCGCACGATTATTAGTTTAGCATCATCCTGTCCACTAAGCAGCGTGTTCTGTGAAGGCTGGGGCCATGCGAGTCTCCCATCCTGAGGCTTTCCCAAGGAGCCAGGAAGGCCACAGGTGTGACTCCACCTGGAATGACTGGCGGCTGGCTTCGGGGGGCTGCCCCGCCCGCGCCGTCCAGCCGAGTGGGAGTCAGGGAAAGCACACATTGCGTTCGTTTAAGTATGGTGTGTCTAAATTCCTCGGAGTCGTTTCCAAATGGGAGGTTTTCACTACAAGCAGCGCCAGGAAAACCGCCTGGCAGAAAGGAGTCCGTCACTCCGCTGAGGCTCCAGCTTGAGTCGCCTGGCTGTGAAGCCCGGGTGTGGGGGACTGATTCTCTTGGCCAGAGGACACGGGCTCAGCTGACCGCTTAGGCAGCCATGTCTGGGACAGACTAAGTCTGACTCCTGACGCCATTCGCTTCTCGCTCAGTCAGTTTTCCCCTCTGTAAAAGGGGGGCGGGGGCGTGATCCCTTCCCGGGGCTACTGGCGTATATAAGCTAGTGTATGTGAGTCCACCTAGTCTTCTCACTGTGCTAAGGGGATCCCCTAAACCAAGGGCGAGCTTGGGGTCGCCGATCTCATCCCTGCTTTCCCCACTCCTGGAGCTGGACAACTCAGGCTGATCCCAAAACGCCCTCAGGGACAGCCACAGCCCATGTGCAGCAGGCAAGGAGGGGTCCGCACAGGGAGAGGCCTCCCGCCTGACAAAGACACTGGCCATCTCAGGGCTCCAGCCAACTGTGCTCTTTACAGGACAGTGTTTTCAAACTATCAGTGCTAATGTTTTCCTTCTGAGCTCTTGGAGTCCAAAGCAGCTGGAGGGAACATTAAGGATAAAACAGGATTAGAGGGGAGGTGGAGACAAGAGGACTGCCTGAGCCCACGGGTTCGAGACCAGCCTGGGCAACATGGAGAGACCTCGTCTCTACAATAAATCAAACAGTTAGCTGGGCATGGTGGTGCATGCCTGTGCTTCCAGCTACTTAGAAAGCTGAGGGGGAAGGAACGTCTGAGCCCAGCAGGTCAAGGTTGCAGTGGCCGTGAGTAGCGTGTCACTGCGCTCCAGCCCGGGCAACAGAGTGAGGCTCCAATTCAAAAAAATCCAAAAAACGCCATTAGAACTCAGCCCACTTATTCTTGGTCAATATAAACTGGTATGAGGCCTAGCCCTCCTTTATCAAAACAAAATGCAGGCTGGGAACAGTTGCTCATGCCGGCAATCTTAGCACTTTGGGAGGCGGAGGTGGAGGTGAGAGGATTACCTGAGCCTAGGAGTTCGAGTCTAGCCTGAGCAACTTGGCGAGATATCATCTCTACAATAAATCAAAAAATGAGCCAGCCGTGGCGGCACAGGCCTGTAGTCCCAGCTCCTTGGAAGGCTGAAGCAGAAAGAACGACTGAACCCGGTGGGTCGAGGCTGTGCTAACCATAATCATGCCACTGCACTCCACCCTGGGCAACAGAGCGAGGCTCTGTCTCTCTCTCGCTCTCTCTCTCTCTCACATCCCAATATTCCACAATAAAAGCAGATCCCATGCCCACCTCGAGTTACCATCGCTTATGATCGTGTTCCCTAAAATCCAAACACAAAGGAACAAGAAGTGCTCAGAGTTGAACTTTAAAAAAGCAAGCTGCTTTATTATTAACTTTTCTGTGAGCTCTCCGAAAGAAACAGTTACATAAACCTCAGCAAGGCAAAGAACACATTGAGTTTGCCTTTGGGGCTTTTTTCTGAGGACACAGACCTCTGAGAGCGCTAATAAAATACACAAACTGCACAACCACAAATCACGGATGTGTCAACGCACTCCTCAAGTGTCAGCTACAAGAGTCTGAGACAGAGGAGACCTTCAGCCCTCCCTGGTCAGATTTAGCTAACATTGAACGCTTACTACTTTTTTCTCACACCCATTAATAATCAATCCTTGCGAGTTATAGACTATCACCCCCCTTCTACATAAGGAAGTAACCAGGGCGTGGCGCAGAGTAAGGGTGGGGTTTCAACCCAGCCCCCTGTCTTAAGTCCAGTGCTGTATTTTTAAAATGTCTCGGCTGGGCGTGATGGCTCACGCCTATAATCCCAGCACTTTGGGAGGCCAAAGTGAAAGGACTGCCTGAACTCATGGGTTCGAGACCAGCCTGGGCAACATGGGGAGACCTCATCTCCACAATAAATCAAAAAATTAGCCGGGCGTGGTGGCGCGTGTCTGTAGTTCCAGCTACTTGGAAGGCTGAGGTGGAAGGATCCCCGGAGCCTAGCAGGTCAAGGCTGTGGTGGCGGTGAGGGTCCCACTGCCCTCCAGCCTGGGCAACAGAGTGAGACTCCAACTCAAAAAAATAAAAAATAAAAATAAATGTCTCCACAGCAGCCTTCTCAGTTCCAGGCCTGAGAGGGACTAAGGGCTGTCTTGCCTTCCCAAGTGCCGTTTCTGTGTTGAAATCAACCCCGACAGGATCACAGGCAGGCACATTCTACACTTGATCTTAGAAGCCAAAAGGCCGAAAGCGATAGGCACACTCTATACAGACACCTTTTTCCCTGACCTTGGAGAGTAAACTGCAGACACTGGGCCCGCCGCTCCTCAGTACTTCAGCATGGATTTCCCGCGACCTGGGACATTCATTGTCATAATCCAGTACCACTGTCAAAAATAGGGAATTTGGCCGGGGCTCAGTGGCTCAGCCTGTCATCGTAGCACTTTGGGAGGCCGAGGCGAGTGGACTGCCTGAGCCTGCGGGTTCGAGACTGGCCCGGGCAAATAGCAAGACCTCGTCTGTACAACAAAGAGCCGGGTGTGGTAGCGTACACCTGTAGTTTCGGCTACTTGGAAGGTTGAGATGGAAGGATCGCTGGTATCCAGCAGGTTGACGCTGGGGTGGCCGTGAGCATGCCACTGCACTCCTACCTGGGCGACAGAGTGATACTCCAACCCCCCCAAAATAGGGAATTTAATCTTAACGTAACACTGCTACCTAGCCTATTCATACTCTACCAATTGTCCTACAATGTACTCGATAACTTCCTTTTTCCTGGTCCAGGATCCAGCCCAGGACCATGAATTGCATGTAGCCTTCATATGATTTCGTTTCTTTTTAACCTGGAGCACTATCTCAGACTTTCTTTGTTTTTAAGACATTGGCACTGTACAGGCCAGGCACGGTGGCTCACATCTGTAATCCCAGCACTCTGGGAGGCCGAGGTAGGAGAAACACTCGAGCCCAAGAGTTTGAGACCAGCCTGGACAACGTAGTGAGATGCCAACAAATAAACAGATAGATAGATAAATAAATAAGTAAATACCGCTACAGAAAATCTAAAAATTAGCTGGGTGTGGTGGTATGCACCTATAGTCCTAGCTATTCAGGAGGCTGGGGTGGGAGGATGGCTTGAGCCAGTAGGTCAAGGATGCAGTGAGCCAGGATCACCCACTACACTCCATAGTCTGGATAACAGAGTGAGACCTCAGTCTCAAAAAAAAAAAAAAAAAAGACATTAGCATTTTAAAAAGTACAGGCTAGCCAGGTGCAGGGGCTCAGCCTCTAATCCCAGCACTGCTGCCGAGGCCAGCAGACTGCCTGAGCCCAGGGGTTTAAGACCAGCCTGGGCAACTTGGCAAGACCTCGTCTCTACAATAAAACACAAAAACTAACTGGGCGTGGTGGTGTGCATCTGTAGTTCCAGCTACTTGGAAGGCTGAGGAGGAAGGGTCTGAGCCCAGCAGGTTGAGGCTGCGGTGGCTGTGAGCGTGCCACTGCACTCCAGCGTGGGCAACAAGAGTGAGACTCCAACTCAAAAAAAAAAGTACAGGCCAGTTTCGTGTAAGAGCTTACTCCATCTGGATTTGTCTGACGCTGCCATGTGACTGGACTCGGGTTATGAGCTTTTGGCAAGAACGCTGCCACTTATGCGGTGCCGTGTCCTCAGTCCATCACAGTCAGGAGGGATGCCAGGTTCTCCCGTCAAGCTACTCGTTTCTCTTTAGTGAATAATTCACCAGCCCTTCAGTTTTCCCAAGGGCCATATTGGTTCTTGGCTAATAAAAGCACTCTCGTTTGAAGCAGCTCCTCCACCCACATCCTGGCAACATTCGCCTCCCGAGGGAGCTGGCGCTAACCCTCCAGCTCCTCACGGCCACTGGCTTTGGCTGTGATTCCAGCAGCCCCATGAGCCACTCTCATAGACTTCAGGGTATCTGACGTTGTTTGCAAGATGTACGGGCTCACCTTGCCACTGGTGTGCTCTGTATTTGCACTGTCTTGGCAGATACAGTGTCCGTAGTCAGAGAGTAATGGGCCCAAGAGATGCTGCAGTGACAGCCCGGGGGCCATACCAGGGCCGTCGGGTCATTCCCGAAGACTTCCCTTCCCACTTACAGTGACATCGGATATATACGAAAGCACATGTGACTCCAGTGATGTCACTTCTCATTCCTTATGGTCACAACCAAGGGCCGGTGTGAACAAGTTGGAGTCCCACGCGACTACTCATCACAAAATGTCCACTGCCAGTCCTCCCACAACACCTCCTTGTGAACACATGCTCCTCACCTCTTAAAACATGCTGGTAGCTGGACAACAGGAACTGCAGGTGCTCAACCAGCTCGTCCCAAGTCTGCCACTGGGTTTTATCCGACTGCAGAGAGAGGAAAAGCGACTGGCGGTAAATGTCTCCTTGACTCACTTCCAGAGAATGCTCACCCCGCTGTGTGACAAGCTAAACGCCCATGCACAGGGTTAGGGGAACGGGCTCAAGGCCTGGGATGGGGCCGGAAAAAAATGTACCTGACACTTGAGCAGAGATGTGGAATTGTTCAGAAAGTAGAGGGCTTGGGCCAGAGACAAGGGCAGGCGGGTGGGTGTCTCGCAGCTGTGCAGGAATATGATTTCTAGCACTTTGCAGCGCAGAAGGTGGCTTTCCATGGTGGTAAAGAACATCTCCCTGTGTGGAGATGGGCAGGGGTTGACCGTCACGGCTACACTTCCGGAAACGCACACTACAATTCAGCCTGCATGTTCTGACCTTTGCCCTAAAAGAAGACAGCTAAGAAGGGATATGGTGGACAGAGCCCCGGAGCTGTGGACAGGGCAGAAATGGATTTGTTCATAAATTAACAACTGCCAGAATGAGGAAAAAGTCTTTGACGTTTGAAAAAGACAAGTTTAGGACACATGAAAAACGATTACTTCACACTGCAACTACGAGAATTTAATCATGTGGCTAAATATTTCTATGACGTACCAAGTATTATTTGGCACAGAAGGAACAGCAGATAAAGAAGGGGGATGACCAGGCGCAGCAGCTCAGCCTGTAATCCCAGCACTTTGGAAGGCCGAAGCAAGAGGACTGGCTGAGCCCACGGGTTCAAGACAAGTCTGGGCACGCTGGCGAGACCTCATCTCTACAGTGAGTCGCAAAAACTAGCCAGGCCTGGTGGCGCGCGCCTGTGGTTCCAACGACTGGGAAGGCCGAGGCGGAAGGATGGCCAGAGCCCGGCAGGCTCTCCAGCCTGGGCGACGGAGACTCCGACTCAAAACCAAGGGGCGGGGAGAGGTACGGGAGGAGGGCTCAACAGGGCACGC